AATCTGAAAGGTTACTTTTAAAATCAGGAGATATTTCACCATTACGATTAGCTTGAGGGCTTAAAGTAGGAGGTGTTGGAGACGGTTGTAATGATCTGTACAGTGGAGAAGAATTTCCAGAAACTGACGGAGATGGTGATTTTCGATGAATGCCTACAAAAAATTTAAACTTAAAAATGCAAAGAAAAAACAGTATTATTATTTATTTGGTAGAGTAATTTACTGAAAACTTAATTAGTCTTTATTTTGACTACCACATTTTTATGAAGAAGTAATTAGGAGTGTGTCACACACTATTGCAAAATTCCATTTTGATCTCTATATTACTTTATTTTATTAATATAGCAAACCCCAAAGAAGTTGATGTAATAAAATCTACTAAGACAATGGTCCCTGAAATCTTAACCATGCCTTTATAATCTTTACAACTCACCATTAATAATTATTTTGTCCCTGTCACCAGTAATAACATGCGACTGAATATCATTAATAGCCAACTGTTCTGGCATCTGACAATTAATGCAGAGCCACTTCATACCATTTCTAATTTTTTCAGTTATTCTTGGTTGATGACATGTTGCATGATAAGCATCAGCACAAATTGAACAAACGATCAAACTGCCCTATAATTCAATAGAGCAATTAAAATAACAGACAACATAACAAATGGTCTAACAAAATCAAAAAGTATTATTTACGTACTGCATCAGATGTTTCAAAACAAATAACGCATGTTTTACAGTGTGGACATTGCCAAGTATTATCAGGATACATTCGTAACATCATATTGTCATCACCATTTAAACAGCTAAAGTGAGCTAAAACACAATTTTGGAAAACGTAATAAAACATTTACATGACAATAGTTTTGCGTACCTTTGTTACTACACTCTCGACATGAAACAAACCTATCATTTGATACTCTTGCATTGTTATGACAAACTGAACATACACCTCCTTGTTCTCTGATATTACCCATTCGGGAATCGGGTCTTAATTCAGTGCTAGAAGTATGTTTAGAATGTCTGTCAACGGTTTTATTTATTGACCCAGTAGGTCTTCCTCTTTTTCTGGGAATATTGTTGTCAGATGGATCAAACACTTTCTTAGCCCTCTAAAATAATGCAGTTGAAATAACCAGTTTAATTATTTTGCAAAAGTAATGATCAAATGTTACCATTTTTTTGAAGCTGAATAAAATTTATTATTCGTTATTGTTATATTCAATACACATACGTTTTAGTCAACTTGTCAAAAATAAGTAAATGTCACAACAAATTAAAAACCTAACCTTATATTGAAATTAATGTGTGTATATGTGTGCATGTGTATAGACGTTTCTTCTAACTACCAATACGACTGAACGCACCTTTCTTCTGCTTCCTACGCGCAGATTTCCATATTGGCTGTTTTGGTCTAATTTTCGTCCTCCTGCGCTGACTTCATTATTTAACGAATGTTTTTGTTCTTTCTTTAAAAACATTAACGCACCGTTGCTAAAATTTCTCTTCTCCGGTAGTTTCACTACACGCTCTTTTGAATTGATATTTTCGGAGTCACTTCTCTTTGCGGGACCGACCAAGTAATTACCATTATCCATTCTCATTAAACCCCCATTTTCAACCTCTTTTTCAAGTAAAATGCTCACGTACTTTTTAGTGTACTTTACGTTATCCTTTGACAGAATATTTTTTATCAATTCTGAACCGGGAACACCTATTTCTAGATAATCAGGTTCTTGAACGATAAGTTCGGCAATTGCATTGTTTAATATTGCGGAAAATTTTCTTTTTATTTTAAACCTGTTAATTCCGCTATTTTCTAATCGTCCGTCTTTTTTCAAATGCTTGAACTTCCTAGCCGCGTTTCGGTAACTTATGCTCCCTTTGTATTCTACTTTTAACACGATGTCGTTATCAACGCACTTTTGTAAATCATTTTTTGCATCAGTAAAATTTATTGAAAAGCGCTTTAAAAGATAATTGCATATCCGGTGTATATCAGGTCTTGCTTTCCGATGCCGCAATTGGTCAATTGCCTCCAGAATACGGTCCCGGTGTCTTATATCATTCATTATAGTGCGGCTGGCGCTGAACAGTTTTCGAACGCGTTTTTGCAATATCAATTATTATTATAACAGCTAAAAGTAACAAAAAGCTTATTTATACAATACAATATACGAAATGTAGTTAACGTGTAATCGATAGTTTGTTTTGCATGCATTAGAAAATAAAACCTGTTGTACTACTGCACCATCTCACTATGTGAAAAAACTAATTTTTAGAGTCTTTAACTTTGCAAGTGCGATAAAATCGAACAGGTTTATTGAGTTTTAGATAACATTAAGAAACATTTATTATATCTAAATAATTTCTTATACAATAGTTGCGAAGGATATACAGGCTCTGCAACAACGCACAACTCCTATCAGAAACGCAAAGGCATGCATAAACTACCTTGATTAAAAATATATTGAAGTAAAGTGTTACCTGACTATTATTTTATGTTTCCTAAAATGTAACTTCAAGAAGAACACGTAGGCTTCTAAAACCGGCCGAAATTACAATATAATCAGTTCTTTGCTTGTCCGTCAGAGACAAGCATAAAGAACCTGCGATTGTTGTCGACGTATCAACTCGATAACAGTCATTCAACGAACTGAGCGACTAGCGGCGGCACTACACGGATTTTGTCCGTTTTGCGGCAGGGTGGTTATGGCCTCAGATGCGCAAGCTTTGGCGCCAATATGAAATATAATTTTTAATACTTTTTTTGCATGTCTATTCTAATTTTTTAATTTTCCTTAAATAATCGTACTGTAATATAGCTATGTGGTTACTATTTACATATTGTTTTTATTGCAATATAAATAAATAAGCGATTCATATACATCTAATGTAGTCCTAAACTTCTAACATTTTCGCGCGTCACAAAAAGCTGCAGTTATTAAAAAAAATATTGAATATTGCATAAAGAAGTCTTTTTATGACCATACAAGTTTGTAAACAAATACTTGTAGCGAATGTGTTTATTTATACTTCAAAAATTTTTCTGCAATATAAATAAGAATACGTGCAAACTGCTGCTAACGCGCTAACCGATTTTAAAGCAATCATCATAATAAATAAATACTTAGTTTCATATCTCAAGCAATATCCTCCATAGAATAAGTACTTACTTAAAAAATAGTTTTTACTATTGTAAATGTTCCAAACATACGACCACAATCGGGTTAGGTTGGGATTAGTCAAGTTACATGATAAAATATATTTTATTTACAAAAGGGGATGGTAAATTTACAATGTAATACGAACATAAGTTTAGAAAAGCTTATATATATATATTTACAATTTATATGTAATCGTTACTTATTTATTATTATTTAATCGATTAATAAGCGCAAAGTTGTCTTTCATGATTTTCTTGTTTACATGTATGTAGCTTGATGTATTATTAGTTAATATGCACATAAATATCATTTCTGTATTCATATCATCTGTTAATAACAAGCATCCTACATCATATAACTAATAAAATGCATTATAAACATATACAGTTATATTTTGGGAATTTCGGACACAAAACAATTCATTTTAAAAGAAATCGAATTTATTTGCATTTGTCTTAATTTGATATGCCAGATGACACAAGAATGATTTACATGAAAAATATTTTAAAAATACTTTAAGTTGTAGTTAGATATATAATTTTTTTTTTGATTAGAAGCTGTTCTTATTAAGGATTATTGATTTATTAAAGCACCTGACGTTTCGTTCTGGATTAACGAAAAGCATCTTCAATTCTCAAATTCAAAATATTTTCATTAATAATAATTTATAGTTAAATAAAGTCGTAACTACTGCATGTTACATGGATTGCAATAGTAGACAGCAAGATAATGCAACATAATTATTTTAATATTTCTTAAATTTACAATGAAATCATCGCAACTATAAATAAAAATTTGGCAATATAAAAATTATTAGATTTTTAGTAGATATTACCCATCAGTGTCCTTATTGTATAAGAAAAAATCAAATACAACGCTGCGATAAGTGTAAAAAAACATTAATTTATCGTAATATTCAATTATGGAAAATAATATGCACATCTAAAAATGTATATGCGGTAGATTCCTATGCATGTACAACTACGTATACAATAAATAGTCAATTTGTTTCATTTATGCATCATTCGCCGTTTAGACTAATAAGAAGATTTCGTAATCAGTTAACAAACTGAGTTTGAAAGTAAAAGATTGATAATAATTATCTTACTAATTATAAGCATTTTAGTCTCTTCACGCCTACATATAAGTAATTGCTTGATCCTGAAATTAAAATTATAATATATATTTTGAAAAAGTCTTTGACGCATTACGAAAATTTATGTTCTTATTTAAGTAAAGATAAATCAAAATGAGTATGAGCTAGAGATGACGAGCAATATTAAACGAAATACAGTTGAAAAATATTTACTGCTTGATTCTGTTGAATGCTTTTCCGGTAGGCGATGTACATATGAATTTACGAATATGTGTCCGAACACCCCCTGTAGTCCAATGGTCACCCTCTCCTGGCTCCCAGAATGTCCACACAAACGCCTCATTTGAAACATTTTTTAAGATATAATACGAAGAGCGATAGAGGCATAATACAAAGCATAGAGCAAGATCGAGTCACTACTAAGGTATACACTTACGTGTCCGCCGATTTATTTGGAAATTCGAATAAAAAAAATTATTAAAAGTATACTTAGTTTCCATATTCTCCCTAACGTATGATAACTTAATCTAAACTAAATCAGATGCTGATCTAGTTCATTTATTAAAAGTTTACATTTAGAGCACAGCCCTAATGGGTGCGAAACGTGAAAGTGGGCATGGCGGCAAAGAAAAACGTTTGGAGATGGTACAAATTTGCAAGTGCTGTACTATAGGAGGATGATATCTTACCGTTACTGTTAGGAAAGTTTAAAAATGGGAAAGTACTGGAAACATTAGAACAAAGGGTACTATCAATAGTAATAAGGAAAAGCGGAGATAGCATGTAGGAAAGCTTCTGAGACATGAAAGGCTGGTTAGAGTGGAAGGCATAGTAGATTAAAATATAATTTTCAAATAGAGACATGGTATGTTTTCGAGAAAAAAAATCGATTGTTGCATTATTTAAAACTGTACTGTGCACAATTTTTTATTGTAATTCGATTTTTCTATAAGGGCTTTAACTGCTCTTACAGCAGGAATTCTTTTATCAACGCAAAAAAAATAATTACAAAAATAAAGTGTAGTCATAAATTAGTAAAATTATTTGCTATTTGCTTATATTTTTTTCCATCCTGTTATACAATACAATATACA